GTTTCAAGCTGACATTTTGTTATTTTTGGTTTCAAATTTTCATTTCGGTGCGCCTCTTAAGCTGCACCAGCTTAAAAGTAGCTCATAGAGAAATCTTCTAATTAATCCTAAATAAATGAAACTATGAGTTGTCTTTGATCTTGTTGAATATTTAGAAAAAAAAAAGAATCTGATCCTTTCTTTACAGATTGATATAGGTATACGTAACCCGTTGTGATAAATGATTGAAAAGACTACCACGTAAAAAAAACCATTTTGTACTTGTTCCATCCTGATGAGGAAACAGTCGATGTAATCTCGGGGACAGGCTGGGTCCAGAGTGTCTTGATGGTTCTTGATGCTGTCCTTCACAATTTGTTTTAGGTCTTGTAAAAGGTCAAACATTTTTTGGTGTGGTCCAGGTAAATACTGCATGATACTGGGGTACATGTCATACAGCTGTGGAATGCAGAACAGAAAAAAAGCTAACGGTTCAAGACTTAGAAAAGGGCCAATACGATATGGTAGGTGATCACACTGTGGTTTTTAAAGACTTATTTCACACTATAGACAAATTAAATAATGCACCTATATTGTGTTCTAGCATAAGTTGATTGACAAATGTTTGGTAGATGCCCAAACATACTGTATATAACAAATTAGTGGGTAGATTTGCCTTCCTGACTCCATCTGTAACATAAATAAAACTTGTGGGTGGCTGGTCTATTCAGTTGCTAGATAAAATTCACCAAAACAAATTATTTCATTTTTTAGTAGACATTGATCACCACCTATTAACAATTTTTTAAATCCAGCAATTCCACTTGAAATGTTGAAAGAAAAACTGCCACGTTTATCAAATAATATTCTACTACAAAGAATAGGGCCCCCTTGGAGTGGCCATGTCAAGTGAACAGGTCTGGGAACTTGGATGCAAAGATTTTATCTGTGAAGTTCCAGAGTGATATAAAAAACCTTGGGGGGTAATTCAACCCACCAACATTTATCAGGAACTAAAGAATCCCAAACTAAATTTTGGATAGGCCAGTAATTTATTTAAGCTGCAGGTGATTAGGCAAGGAAACCAAATTATTATACAGATTATCGATTGGAATATAATTTTTCCAGATATCTAGCTGTTTTCCTTGGTAAAAGCAATTCAAGAGGAAAACTGTCCTGCCTACTACTAGTCATACTATTTTAAAGTGATACTATAAGGGCTTAGGTTTAGGTTTATTTTAGTAGTTTTTTACTTTTTTACTGTTTATACTACAGTTTTAATCTCTCTCTCTCTCTCTTTCTCTCTCTCTCACATGACCGCCATTGAAACAATAGCATAGTCTGCACCGTCTAGTGTACCCTTCCTCCGCAAACCTCAGCCATGGTAGGATAGGCAGGGAAACCTCTCTACAACTGCACGCGGCTAAAATTTTGAAAGTACTGTAGAGAGAGCCTCTGGTGGCGGAATCAGAGCATAGGTAGAGGATCGCAGCTCAGGAAGGGGCTCTGTTGCGTCAAAAAACTGTAGACCTACAGAGGCACACTTGGAGTTATGGTGGTGCACACTTGGAGATGTGCTGGTAGCACAGGGATACTGTACACAGGCACATAAAGACACGCTGGAGGCACAGGAAGTACACTTGGAGCTACAGAAAAGCACAGAGGTACACTTGGAGATATGGGCAGCACAGGAATACACTTGGAGGTATGGAGACACATAGAGGCATAACACTAATTTCAAAGCTTTAAATATAGTGTATTATGTCACTTATGTCATTTTTGAAAGAGGCCTGGAACCTAACTCCCTCACTTCACATTGACTTACATTATATACTGGGTTACAATTTTCATCGGGTTCTAGTTGCAACCATTCTTTCAGTAACCTAACCCTGGTGCAAATTGAGGGCTACCTGCATTGTAAAGAGCTGTGCAAACTATTTGTGCTATATAGATCCTGAATAATAATAATAATAATAATAATAATAGTTAAGAAATTCAGAAGATGCATACAAGAAACCAGTTATTTGCACATTTACTTTACAGTAATTAGTGACAGATTGGTCCAGCAGAGATGTACAGGGAAGTAAGCACAGCTCTAAGTCCCTACTGTGCAAATAATCTACTATGTTACCCAATATGGGCAAAGTACAGGTTCATGTCAAGAAACTGCTATTATAGCAGAGTATTCTCATATCTGATAGTGCTTTGTACTTGCCTGACCCCATATAGAAGAAATTATTTCAAATGAGTCCCTCATGTCCTGCAGAATTTTCATCCATTTATCATCAGTGTACTCGTAACGTTTCCCCACCAGCAAATCAGCAATGATATTGGAAGACGCACAGCTCAGCACAGTGCTGGGGTTGACTGGCTGCTCTGCGGAAATAGAGAAAGAATGATATCAATAGGAGACTGATTCTACAAGACACCAACCCGCCTTACCTGTCACTTGCTAGAACTATTTATTTTTGGGGATACAATAGGATCACTGACATCCTTACCTCGGAATGAGGGCTGGAGTTTGCTGGGACATAAAAGTGACACTAAACTCATGAGTTATATCTTAAAAATGCATTTAAGTACCTTAACTTTTACATTTTTTAAAATCTTATTTGTGTATGACTCAGCTGAACTGGTGCTGACATTGTCCTTCCTTCTAGAGGGTGGCTACTTTTGTTCCCCAAGGTCTCTTTGTGTGTTGTAAAGTAGTCACCGCTCCAAGCTTGTTCCCGTGATGGACTACAATCTCAATACAAATGATTAAACTAAACATGAGATTGTACTCCATCACGGAAGGGAGCCTGGAATGGAGACAACTTTACAACACACAAAGAGACCTTGGGGAACAAAAGTAGCCACCCTCTAGAAGGAAGGACAATGTCAGCACCAGTTCAGCTGAGTCATACACAAATAAGATACATTTTTGTTAGTTTAGTGTCACTTTAACTTACAACTTAGATACAGGAAAGGATCTTAAATGAAATATCAACAATTTTATGCAGGCCCTATATACTGTTCAAGGTAAAGTTCTCCATTGAGGAGAACAGAGAAATAGAACCATTTGCTTTTCTTGGAAATAATAGACATCCAAAAAATAAGAAATAGCTGACAAGCCTGTGTTAGAACTCCCATAACTACACATCTAATTAAAACATCCAATCACAATCCAACAGTGATTCTCTGTTACATAACTGGTTGTTTAAAGTGATCACAGGTATACTTTAACTCACTTCACACTTTAGTCGATCTGGTCAATAGTAAACTGTACCTTGGTGGAGCAATAAAGCCAACTGAATGCCATTTTGTGTATCCCAAAATGCAAGTAGAAAATAAACTGTCAGTAAATGCATGAGCACAGACCATCTGAATATTGGTAGGATTTGGTTCCAGGCAATTATATCCTCTTTGAAACGCCCTCTCTATATCTGCGTATATACTGTAAATTCACGTAATAATGTGATTACCATACTTACCGTTACAACTTCTGAAATAATCAACTAAGTGTTGTGCCTCAACCTGAATAGGTTCTTCCAGTGTCTTTCTGCCCATCCCAAAGTCCTTAAGAGTCAGGAGGGAAAATTGTCTTAGCTGTTTCCAAGGCTCTCCGTTGACAAGATTCATTCCTTGGGAGAAAAAAAAAGAGACTTAGCAATACAGTGCAAAATGACATGTCCCATAGCAAGCAAAAAGAAATGATCTGTTGGTTAATGTGACTACAGTACACTGAGATCTGATTGTTTGCTATGGTTAACTACATTCACACATTGATGATGAGTAACCCTAATAAGACATACACCATAATATGTTGTAGAATATGGAAGTACCTATTAGAGTTTTTATGCAGTATACCAGACATACTAAACTTTCCCTAGAAAATATGAAGTAGTAAATATTGGCCTTGTGTAAATTGTTTGAACACTTACCACTTTTGTTGTAAAACTTCTCAAAAACAGGAATGGTTCCTCGTCCTAGAAAAATATCTCCAAGGTCTACTAGGACTTCTTTGACCGCTTGATATCCAACCACGATGACTGTGGGTCTGGAGCCAAAGTGTATCGTATAGATAGGACCATATTTCTCTGCCATCTGTTAGAGAGTTAGACTTAGATAAATACGTTTTTAGATCATTTCTCTAAGGAGATGCTGAAACCTTCTGATGTAGATAAGTTAATTGGCAATGCAGGTCTGCATTCTTATAGTGTATGTTACCCCATAATTTATTAAAGCTGATTTGTGTCTGAACAGCTGAACAGTAGCCTGTTGTTTAGCAATTTATACTTCGGACACAAATACCTTATTTTTCCAATCTGACCACGCCGAGCATGGAAACAGATGTGTGCTGGCATGGTCAGTTTGCGTCTAACTACTCCCCTGAGAGACATACAGAACTCACAGAGTGCCCCTTCTGGTTCATCCTCCCCTTTCAACACTGACATGCACCCGCACCCCAACCCGCAAATCGAATCTGCGTGGTCTCAAACATGTCTTCTGATCAGCTATGGTTCTCCACATTTTTGGTTTAAAGGCCCATAACACTGTGAAGCTGGAAAGTTGTCAGTGAGTCTGGAGTTCTGTGTTGTCCAAGATGTCTGCTGCCCTAACCCTCTTTCCCTATTTTTGTTGTTCATAGAATAAAGCATTAGAGAATCCTTAAAGTGATTGGCGCCCAATGTTGCTTTCACATCCCACATACCTGAGGTCAAATTTCAGCTCCCCCTGCCCTCTGAAGTCAGGGGACGCTACACTTTAATCCCTTCATGGCTGAGCTTGTTTTTAGTTTCTGTTCGTAAATGACTGACACACTTTTGACATTTTTGCTGTGTTATTCTTCCACGTCAGTAATATACTTTCTTACAAAGTGCACCCACACATATTATATAATGTTTTTTAGAGGACAGATAGGGCTACATAATTATATCACATATGTGTACCTAACGCCTCACTTAGGACAAATAAAATATAAAAAAAGAGGAAAAAACTTAAAGAAAACACTTTTTCCCCAGTTTTAATTTGTAGTATTTTTTACAAAAACAGCACAGCTAAAAATAAATAAATAAATACATTCATTTATTTGTCCTTTATTTAGAAAAACCTCACATCGCTAGGATTTTAGAAATGTTTCTGTACTTCTCGGCCTAAAACTAAAACCTAATATTTTAATCCTTTTTCTCTAAAAGCTAAAGCTAAAAGTGGTCACCTAGCATACAATGTCACCGTCACTAAGTGTCACACTTAGTGACAGCGACAAGTGACAGCGACATACTTTGAACATCGCTGTCATGGGGGGGGGTTAAAAAAATTAACCCCTTAGGGTGAAAAACAAATCTGCAGCTCAGCTGAAGATTTTCATTGTTAGGGGTTAATTTTTATATAAATTATAGTATAAAAATATATTTAAATATATAATTATTTTTTACATTTATTTTTATTTGTTAGATTTTTTTTACACTTTTCACATTTTTTTTACACTTTTCAGTATTTTTAAAAAACTTTTTACATTTTCATTTTATTTATTTATTTAATTATATCAAGCAGTCATTGTGAATTAATCTCACTATTACTGCTTGATAAATTCATAATTTTCTGGTTATTATTAGGCTGCTTTAAACTTAAGAACAGCCAATAATAACCTTAGTGACACTGATCCTGCAGCATTTCAGGACCAGCTGTCACTAAAGGTTTTCTGATCGTTCCAACAACAATCAGAAAACTGAAACATTCTTTCAGGAATAGATACATTATGTATCTATTCCTGAAAGCTAAAAAAAAAAAGAAGCTGGTATACGATCGAGCTTTCCCGATCTATACAAGCTGTTAGAGTGCCGGCAAGAGCTGCAAATGCTAGTCTGCTTTCACTCTCAGACACCTGATTCCTGAAGGGGATCAGGTGTCTGAAAAAGGTCAACTCTTTAATTAATGGATGCCTCTATACCAAGCGGTTACCAGCCTTCTAGTGCAGCAAATAACTTGTCCCGTACAGTGTACAGGTCCAGTCATTTAAGCACTTTGTGACGGGACGTACAGTGTACGTGTCACGATCTGGGATCAGGCTCGGAGTCCAGTAGCTGAAACAGCAGGCAAATTTGTGGTATAACAGGCCGGGTTCGGTACACAAGCAGACGGTAGTAGTGTAGGAGCAGGCAGAAGTGTAGTCAGCGAACAAGCCGAGGTCAGTAGTCAAAGGTATCAGGTACGAAGCAGCAGACAATGAGAGTAGTCGGTGAATCAGCAGCCAAAGGTACACGGGTAGCAGTATGAGTAGATTGTAGCACAGAGGGAGCAGGAGCAAGATAATGGCAGGAGCACAATAATCTGGCAGACAGGAAGTGCAGAGGCATGACTTAAATAGGAAGTTCAAGGGAGGAGCAAGAAGTTCAGAGTTCAGCAAACACTAGGTTAAACTGAGGATTACACATGAGATCAGGCAAGGAGCTATCCAAGGTTCTAAGGTGGCTCAACAGGTAGAACCACTGCCAGCTACAGCGGAGGCCCTGGGTTCAGATCTGATTCCTGACAGTATGTTTCCCATCACAAAGGGGTTAATCATGAAAGAGAAAAGCAAAAGGTTCAATCAAGTCTGTGAACTACAGAAAACCTTCCCCTATATTGGGGAGGTGGATCTGTGGTCTTAACTCACTTCCTGTCCTATGGTGACAATGCTGCTCCTCTATAGAGATGGCACAGGATATGTGTTATTATCATAGGGTCCTCTAAAAATAAAGGAAGAAAGCCCCCATAAAATGAAAAGTAATGCCGCCTCCTTATCTAAGGACTGGACTTGCAATATATTATATTTGTGTTCCTAGGATTAGATGTGCTTTAAAGAAGAATCACATTTTTAAAAAAAATAACCCTTGCACTGGGGTTACTCCTGCACTGCAAGGTTTAGGTGCCCATTTTGGTGAAAATAAAGAAGATATAGACCTGATATTTGGTCCTGCGGCGGTGACCGCTCACCTCTCTCCTTCTCCACTCCAGCTGTAGTATGTCCCTCGGTATCCTCACATCTAATGGACCTGCATTAGACATGATGACATAATGGGTCCTTAGACTGCTGGAGCCCATGGAAGAAGAGTTGCAGGGACCGGTCTAGCAGCCAGGTAGGACCAAGGCGTTAGTGCAGTGCAAGGGTTAAATCCTGGAGTTCTTCCCTTGTCCCTCCTAAAATTGAACCTGTTCTTTTGCCTAATGTGGTCAACGAACAGGTTCACTTTAAGAAGATATCTACTATACTGTACACGAAAACATACCTGCAAATGCATACAAGATGTGTGCTGTGATACAATCTATTATGATGCAATGATAACATTAAGAAGACAGTAATTCCTTCCTTACCTTTAATAAGCTTGGAAGTATTCCTTTGGATTGAAGTTGTAGAAAGTTCCCCAGAATAGGCAGAGGGAAGGGACCTGGCGGCATTTTCCTTCTCCTCCATGCATATCTGCTGTAATAAAGGACTAAGAAGAAAGTGACAAATCCCACCAAGACACAGGTGACATTATTTAGATCTACCATGTCTCTATTAATATTCAGAGCTGCTGCGGGTCCAAACTTCTCCGGCCAGTGTCTTTCTATACATTAACTGGGAATGTGGGTGTTGTGCTGGTTTGATGGATGTGAGCTGAGGAAATCTGCCTTTGAATACTGCTTCTGTGTGTTTACATTTGTGAACATTCCAGCTGGAATCTCCAAAGTCTCTGTGAGGCAGAACAACTATATATGTACAACTGGGACGATTCCAGCCCTATACCATTGGGCTTTTCTTTATTCACCTTGTAATATGAGATAAAATTAACTCTTAAAAGTATACACACAGAGAAGATAAACTACATTAAAAAAATTGATTTTATCAGTAAGACAATTAGCTGATTCTAATTGTTATTAAAATATTGAAGGGACATTATTATTAAAGTGACACTAAACTCAAGAGTTGCATCTTAAATATACAAGTACGCTATTAACAAAAATGTATCTTACTTGTGTGCGTGCAGTATGCAAAAAGTGGACTTAGTTAAATTATGCTGAATATGGCTTAATGGAGTCTGAAACTCACATACAGTATATGCTATACACGAATACTGCAGTACTTGTATGCACAAAATAATCCTTAAAGTAGTACTGAAGCCAAAACATTCTTCTTAGTAATAGATAGAGTAAGGGAGAGTTATAATCAGCTTTTTTTTTTTGCCATGTGTGGGCCATTGGGGAGATTTCCCTTCACTTCCTACCCGATAGCAACAAAAGGAAGTGAGAGGAAATCCCTCCAAAGTGAGGGAAATTCCTGGTTCAGCAGGGTCACCAAAACTAAGCTCCCATTGGATGATTCTATTCCTTTTCTGGTGACAGGGATTTTCTTTCACGTTCACTTGTAGTGATAATGGGCACCAAACAAATAGAGAGTGTATATCTCCATAATGGGGAAACAGAAAGCAATAAAACCTGGCGGGTGTTCTAATCCATCTCCACTCTATACAAAACTAAAAAAAAATGTTTTGGCTTCATATGCACATTAATTACAGTGGTACAAAAGGGAGTTTACTGACACACATAAATCTCAGCACAAGGGATCATTTTTTTTAAACTGAATTCATTATGTATGCCTTTCTCTGTACAAAATATAGACAGGCAGCTAAACCTTGTCTAATCCTACCTTAAAAAAGAACTTCATTAAAATAGTTGGGGTCTACATAGCAAACAGCAAATGTCGAGCCAATAAACACCATGGTCAGGGGTATGTAATGTACAGTATACCTGAAGATTGCATCAATCGGGACTCTATAACATAAATCACACAGCATACAGTGCAGGATTATCGGGTCGGCTAAGACCTGGGCCAGCATTATCGGGCTATAACCAGAAAGCATGTGAAGGTCAAAATCCTTTGACTACCAGGTAAGTTGCTTCACCTAGAGCCACCTTACAAAAAACAACATACCAATAGACTCACAACCAGACTAGACAAGCAGACAACAGAAGGACACAGAGACAAAGAAAGACCAGGAAGAAAGATAGGAAGGAGGGGGAGGAAGAGGGTAATACGTGATCAAGGAGAACATAATATGTATCTATGCCATTGTCCTAAACTCATCCGATTCCATAAACTGTGCATTATTATTATATAGGATTTATATAGCGCCAACAGTTGGTGCAGCGATTTACAAAATTTGGGGAGACGCCACAATTACAATACAATACCACACAAAAAGGATTAGAAGGACCCTGCTTGAGAGAGCTAACAATCTACAAGGAGGGGCAAGTGATACAGAAGCTAATAATGTTAAGGGATGAGCTGATTGAAAGAGTAGAAGTTCAGTTTTTAGGAGGAAGTACAGGGAATACAACAGACAGAGTAGGAGACAGCTGGACAGGTTGTGAAAGGAGTTTCAGAGGATGGGAGAGGTTCTGGAGAAGTCCTGGAGGCAAGCATGGGAGGAGGTGATGAGGGAGCTAGAGAGCAGGTGTTCCTGGGAAGAGCGCAGAAGATGGTTTGGACGATATTTTGAGATGAGGTTGGTGCATGTTTGATTTTTGTTCAGTTCTGGTGCACTAGCATCCTCAATGCAAAGCATGTTAGCATGTGACATAACATGCGTTTAATGCACTGCAGCCAATCACCCTGGTGTGAATGGGCCCTAAAGGTTCCCCTTCACGGGATTAGTCCCCCTCCTCCCCTTGAAATGCATTGCTATTTCATCCTTCCCCCAAAAAAGCATTGGCAATCAGTGGTGCCCCCCCCC